CTGGATCGCGGAGGTCCTGCAGCCCAGCCCGGCTTTCTGCAAGCAGGTGAAGCAGACAGTGAAGCAGATCTGTGACTTCCTGAAGGAGAACTGCTTTGAGACTGGAATCCGTGTCCTCAAGACTGTCAAGGTGAGCACTGCCTGGCTCAGAACCAGCCGGCACCCCTGCTGCCACCCTTCCCTCTGTCCTGCTGCTCCAGCTCATGCCCTGCCTCAATTTCCCCTGGCAGCCCCAGGGCAATCCCGGTGCCGAGGGGCAGCGGTGCTGAGCAGGCAGGGCATCTCTCCACAGGGCGGTTCGGCAGGCAAGGGCACGGCCCTAAAGAACAAATCCGATGCCGACGTGGTGCTCTTCCTCAGCTGCTTCTCCAGCTACCAGGACCAGAAGCAGAATAGAAAGTATATCCTGGATCTGATCAAGATGAGGCTGCATGTCTGTAGGCAGAACCTGACATTCACTGTGAACATTGATGAGCCCCGGTACAAGGGTCCTGGCAATACGCCACGCTCCCTCAGCCTCACCCTCCGCTCCAACGAGACCTTGGAATCCATCGAGGTGGACATCCTGCCCGCCTATGATGCCTTGGGTAAGGGCTGCAGGCTGGCGCGGGGCTTGGGTATCAGTGCCGGGGTGGTTCTCACTCTCCTCACCACAGGGCAGGTGACCCAGAACATCCTGCCAAACGCGGAGGTGTACGTGGATCTCCTGAGAGCCAGCAACAGCCCTGGGGAGTTCTCCCCCTGCTTCACTGAGCTGCAGAAGAAGTTTGTGAAGCGTTACCCTGCCAAGCTGAAGAACCTCCTGCGCCTGATCAAGTACTGGTATAAGGAGGTGAGGGGCTGCCCAGCTTCCCTGGCACCCACTGGGCACCTGCCCCAGCCAGCTCTCACCCCCACCCCCATCTTCTCCCCAGATGCTGAAGCCACGGTACCCCACTGCGGACCTGCCCCCCAAGTATGCCCTGGAGCTGCTGACCATCTATGCCTGGGAGGTGGGCACAAACTGCTCTGAGTCCTTCAACATGGCTGAGGGCTTCCGTACGGTGCTGGAGCTGCTGTGCCGGTACCAGGAGATCTGCATCTACTGGGAGACATACTACTCACTCCAGCACAGAGAGATTGGTGCCCATGTGAAGGAACTGCTGCGCAGATCCCGGTGAGGACCATGCCTGGTGGGACCTGTGCCACCTGTCCTGCAGCACTGCCCAGGACTGATGGCAGCACCCACCCTCTGTGTTCACAGTCCCATCATCCTGGACCCTGCTGACCCCACGGGGATCCTGGGCCAAGGCAATAATTGGGGCCAGGTGGCACATGAAGCTGGCCGCCACTGTTCTCTGCCCTGTGTCAGCTCTGCTCAGCCCTGGAATGTGCAGGTAAGGCTGCCTTGTGCCTGCAGGCATTGCAACCCCCCGCCCCTGCTGGCTTTGCCCACTCACCCTCCTGTCCCCGCAGCCGGCCCGGGATGTGACGATTGAGGTGAAGCAGATGACAGGCACCAGCCTGAGCAAGACCGTCAGCCCAGGCATCACCATCCGGAAGCTGAAGGAAGAGATCGAGCAGAAGTGGAGCATCCCTTGGTACAAGCAGCGCCTGGCGCAGCAGGAGCAGAACGGGAGCAGCCTCGTCCTGCAGGATGACAAGACTCTGGCCGTCTACGGCATCTTCTACAGCACCACACTGATCCTGCTGCAGACTGAGCCCCAAGCGATGGAGGTCTTCGTGAAGGATGACAAGAACCGGACCACCACCTACACGGTGCTGCCCACTGACACCGTCCGGCAGCTGAAGGAGCAGATCCAGACCCGGCACGGGCCTCCTGCTGACCAGCAGCGCCTGACACACGGCTCCAGGGAGCTGGAGGACAGGTACACGCTGGCACACTATGACATCCAGCCCAGGAGCACCATCTTCATGCTCCTGCGGCTCCGAGGGGGTGCAGGCCCTGGGCACCCTCAGCTTCCTGCCTGCCCACCCTCCTGAGGATCATCCCTGGCACCAGCCCATGCCCCTGTACCCACCCCCCACCACCACCGTGCTGCAAATAAATGCCTTGGTAGATCCTCGTGCTGCTTGCTGGGTTGGGGACAGTGCAAGTGGCACAGGGGGATGGTCCAGGGGGGATTTGGGATGAGGGGGGACCTCGATGCCACCAGCTGCTGGGTGGCACAGGGACACGTGGGTGTAGAGCAGTGGTGCTGCCTGAGCTTGGGGTGCCCGGTGGGGTCAGGGGTGCCAACCGGACCTCAGGAAAAAAACCAGCTCCATCTGCCTGCTCCTGCCTGCAGCAGCTTTTAAACCTTCCCGGGCCG